GCGCGCGTCAGCACTTGGAGGGACCCGGGAAGCGAGACCCGAGACCCGAGTCCCAAAACCAGAGACCCCAGGCACAGTGGTATGAAAGGTCTTTAATTTACCTCTTCGTAAAATAAACTTGACCTAAAGTGCCACTGCTGAAGTTCCTTTATATCGTTGGAAAGTCTTTTACGGGCTCAACAAGCTATTACATTTCATAAATCATATTATTTGCGTTGCTTTAATCAATATTGATCAACAAATTAAGCTTTAAGAAAATTAAACGATTTTTGATTGTTATTTATCCACAACTAATTACTTAAGGTACCGATCCACTTTCCTTTTAGTTCGATTTCGAGATTCAGGATTGCCAGTTGATTAGTCATTTTGTAACGACATCAATAGGACGTGACATTCCACTATTAAACCATTATTTGCCTTGTTGTGGTCAAAATATTGCGTCTTTTTGGGCGAAAAATCTTAGTGGAAAATTAGGATCAGGACTTAAACCTTTTTTAGTTATAATTTGTCCAAACGTGGACCCATAACTGGATAACAGAAATTTTTGGAATGTTAGCTTATAATGTTAGTCTAATCAAAGAAAGATCTTCAGCACTTTCAGTCGGAATTCGAAATTTTTTTTCAATTTTCAAGTTTTTCAATTAGAGTTCTAAATATATAACATATTGTATACTTTTGAACAAATAAAAGGGGAATATTGTATAGTATTGTATAATAACAGTCATACTATATCTACAAGATGAATACTAATCGTTATAGATAACTTCAAATTTCATATTCTTGCACCACTGTAACGTGCAACTTGGCCTGCCTGGTAGTACAATTTGATTTCGGTGTTTTCCTGGCGATTTGTTGTGTTTGATTTGCTGCCTCGCCGTCTTGCTCCATCCTGGTGTGCCCCGTCGCACCACCCTCGCAACACCGCACCACCGCACCACTGAACCACTGAACCACCGCACCGCTCTGTCGCATTCCAGCGGTGCCGCAGCGCTTACATTGTTCGCTTTTCGGTTCATTCAAATCCTTTCGGTAAAATTCTTTTGTTTGGTGTCAAGTTTAACAAATATTTGCGGCCTCTTGTCTTGTTTGTCCCATGTTCCTCGCGTGTTGCTGCTGCCGCCCGTCATTGTTCGTTTGCCGAAGTGGCTGCGGTACACGCTGTACGACTACACTCGTATTCGAATTGGTATTCGTATTCGTATTCGTATTTGTATTCGTATTCGGATTCGTATTCGGATCCCTGTGCCCGGCGACATGGGGGCGTATGAGTAATCAGTGCCGCCCGCAATTAGTTGGCCTTAGACAAGGAGCTCCGTGGAGTTCCGCGGAGCTGAGGACTGCGAAGAGTGAGAGTGAGTGGCATGCAAGTGGAGTCCTAGGCAAGAGCGATTTGCTTCCCATGATTGCCCAAAGTTATTGCTGTTGTTGCAGTTGGGCTCCATTGTTGCAACTCTCTTATCAGTGCGCTTTTTTTTCGAGCCTTTGTGCGAAATTTTTGACTCCCTGCTGCGTGAGTCGCACAAAATGCCACAAGAATTGCTGCTGCTGCTGCTGCTGCTGAAGCGGTGCCCCCTGGTGGGCGGGGCCGGGGGGCGTGGCAGGGCACAGGCAATGGCAAAGGCACTGCTAGCCAAAATGGAGACTTGCAACTGGCATCCGGCGACTGGCGACTAGCGACAAAAGTGCCACTGCAGCAACACCATGACCAAGCTGCAACTTCAACTTCAACTCCAACTGCAACTGCAACAAAATGAAACCGTAATTGTTTGTTTATTATGACTCTGAGCAGTTGTTGTTGCTATCGCATGTTATTGTTGCTGCTGCCGTTGTATTGTTAAAATGTTAAAGTGCTACACAATATTTATATTGGCATTGTCTGCGAAAGCTGCCACAAAAATGCTTCCAGCTGAGATCGAACTGCCAATGCCCTAAGTTTTAGGCTTTGCGCTCATTATTTATAGCAAAAGAAGCAGAGTCATCAAATAGGTAAGCCACATAGTCAACTGTATTTTCCGAGACTCAGCTTATTAAGTTATGTTTTTGGATATCAAAAACTGTCTATATTATATTTAAAGCATTTTTAAAATACTATCCAAACCAAATAGGGAATTAAATAAGTTTTTTTCAGCGTTCTTGTTTTAGTGTTAGCTCACTTGAGTTCTAGACATGCTAAAAATGCATTAAGTGTATAAATGATTTCACACCCGATGTTGATATTTCTGGAACTTTGAGTCTGAAAAACATAATTTTGAATACCGCCTTAAAGGCAATCACAATACGACATTACAATACTCACCAGACAGCTACTGGCATGGCCAGCTGGTCCATGGACCCTGCGGAGCTGCAGGGCAGCGTGGAGCGGAGCAGGCCGAGATTGCCATCGGAGACACCCTCGCCGGCGCACAGAGGGGAACCCAGCAATGTGTGGCACTGCTGACACTTCAATGGAGCCCCTGCGCGGAGCGGGGGGGAGGGGAAGGAGGGAACTGGGCACTCCGAGGTTGCCTCATGCTGTGGCGCTATGCTGCGATTATGGCCACGGATTAACTTCCTCTTTTGGCCATCATCATTGTGGTTATTGTTGCGGTTGCTGCTGCTGCCGCTGCTGATTTCCGATTGCTGCGGTCCGGCACTCGCGCTTAATTATATCTAATTCGGACGAACCCTTGCCGCCTCTTAGGCGCTGATTGCGACCTCGCAGCTCGCTTATCGGACGATTACGCCGACGTGACTTGGCGGAGATAAGAAAGCCCGGGGATTCGCTCCCTTCTGGAAAATTAGCCCCGGCAAGCCTAGAACTATGCAATGGCAAGGGATCAGCTTCGGCAATCACATTTCATACCTAAACCCCCGTCATGAACAACACTCCATAGAAATCAGAAAGTTTAGTTTTACAATGATTGGAGATGTTTAATTCTTTCCGAAATTCAACATAAAACCAATTCAAAGTTCTAAATAACAAGTTGTTGTACTTTTAGTAAGTTCTTAACGAATATTTAAAATGTTTTTCTTTACAAAAATAATGTGGTTTTCCTCCTTCCTATATTTAATTCATGTTAAAGTCTTTTAAAGAGAGACAAACATTAAAAGATAACTAATTTAAGTTTGCTTAAAAGCTCATTTCTTGACCAAAATATGTTTTTAAATATAGCTTTAAAATGATTAGTTTTAAATATTTAACAACTATGTGGTCGATTAGGCGGACTTTTGAACACCTCTCATCTGGCATTTGATGTGGCAGCATCTGTCTCGCTCACACTTCTACCTGGGCAGGTCTAACACCTTATAACACCCCATAAATCAAGTGCTTAACCGTTTTTAACGATCGCCGTGTTTCGCAACCTTTCCGAAACCTTTTGGCTAAGCTCCCCTTTGGCGGCTGCTGAGCCGGCGGCAAGGTCAGCTCTTTTTCGGCCCGATTGTGCAACCCCTGACATTGAGCAATGTGAAAATGTGTGTGGTAAGGGGGAGGGGGGTGGAGGCAGAGGAGGTTGGGTGAGTGGACAGGAAATGCCGGCCGACATTCAACTGCAACACTCCCCCTCTCTTTCCATCTGCAAACGGGAGACATCTTTTCACCTTGGCGTCGGCGTTGACAGTTTTCAGTTTTCAGTTTCAGTCGAGATGTGAGACGAGTTTTCCCAGCGGCGGCAAAGTAGAAACGGATCCCGAAAGCAGTCCAACAATGCCCCGGGGCCGTGTTAATAGAAACGTTTCGAGATTCGACAGAACGACAGAACAGAGAGACGAGACGAGGTCCAAGCGAGAGTTCCCGGGAACTCCATAAAAATAGCTAAACGTGCAGGGGCCGCCCAGAACTCTACTACACTCTACACTACACTCCCCACTCCCCGCTCATTTCATTTCAATTGACCGACTGCCGATGCTGATGCTGGCATTCTGGCATTCTTGGCTGCGAGTGGGAGAATTCACTTTCATCTTTTCAATAGGCAGCCGAAGGAACAGGACGATCAGCTGTGGGTCCTTTAATGTCTAAATTCCCGAGGCAGGCTCAAACCTGATGTGTCATACCGCCCAAGACTTGACCTGCTGCTGAGCTCAGAGCTCTGATCTCTGATCCTTTTGGGTCCTTTGTTCCCTGCTAACTGTTTCGGCCAGTCCCTTCCCCCTTCCACCTTCCACCTTTCTCCCTCTCCCTCTCCCTCTCCTCGCTCTTTGTCCGCCGTGTAAATATTTTCCCAGCATCCTGCAAACGTTTTGACAGTTTTTATTAGATCAAAAACCGGCTACAAGTGGCGTGTGATAAATTGCGGCCAAAACGCAGCTAAGCAGAGATGGGCCAGCCCAGATATAGACGCACACACACACAGGGAATGGGAATAGAAATAGGATTGGGTATATAGGGATAGGGAAAGGAATCGGGGCAGGGGTCTAGGAATAGAAGAAAGATCAAGTGTCGCTCACTTGGCTTCCCTTTTATTGTCTGATAAGTCGTGACTTTAACGCACACACACGGGGAATGAAAACGGGAACGGGAACGGGAACTCTGAGGCCATCCCACCGGAGTTGAGTGGCGGCAATTAGGCCAGGCCAAAGTCCTGTTCCCTCGAGCATCTCAAATCCGATTAGGATTGCTTACTCTAATTTAAGCACTTCAATTATTAGGACAATGAGATTTGGCAATCACTTCAATTCCTGGCAAATCCCTTTTCGTACGGACCAACATCAACCCTTTATCGTATAGTTTTGGGGCGCCTTCGCTGCGCATCATAACTCATCATCGACATTGGCAACCCGCGCGAGTGATTGATGAACTGCCGAATCAGTACTAGGCACACTCACTGCTCAAATATGCAGGATACCCCAGCGATGCCCCACTGATCCCCCATTGATTCCCCACTGATCCCCCATTGATCCCCCATTGATTCCCCATTGATCCCCCATTGATCCCCCACTGATCCCCCATTGATCGCCCATTATCGATATCCAATCGGGGAAGCCGTGTTGAGAACGCCAGAGAACTATTCGGTTCGAGCCGCACAACTGAAAATTTCGAGTCAACTTATTTCCCATTTATAGAGGATGCAAAATTCAACAGTGATCAGCAGGGTGAACGCGGGCCTGAGTCGCTGCCTGAGCCACCACCGGAAATTGTGTCGCAGCATCGCCGAGCTGGATTGCCTCATTTTCAACGACGAGTTCCTCAAGGATCCACGGACCCAGTGGTTGCTCCACCAGAGGCGCCAGAAGGAGGTCAAGCACAAGGTCAGCAGCTCCTTGGGGCGAGTGCGAAGTGAGGTGGGTCGTCTGCTCGACCAGTCCAACAATACGCTTTCTCCGCATTCCGCAAAGGTGAGCTGCGATTTCCTAGCCGCTGTAAGCACTTACCTATTTTCCCTTTCACAGAGTAATCTGGCGGTCACACGGGCCTTCTGTCAATTGCTTCAGGCCGAACCGCCAAGTGGAGTTCATACGCCCAGGTCCAGGACCCACACAGGACCTCTGCCCGCCTTCACTCCCTTGCCCTCGCCCGAAAGACGTCCCAGTTTGAGGGTCAGTGCCAGCCTGCCTCGCACTGAGAGGAAGGCCTCCTCCAAGGCATGTTGCCAAAGTGGTTAGAAAGGAGATCACAAAAGTCAGGGAACCTAATAAGAACCCCGTGAGATGGAAGAGAAATTGCTGGAGAAATCTTGGAGAGATCTGCTCCCAAGTCTGACAGAGATCTATGAAATGGATAGATCTGTGGCAGATTTGCGAGCTATATCTGTGGGATGTCTCGAAGTATCGGCAAGTGGCGATCTCCCCAAAAGGACTGAACTTATATATCCCACACATCACGGGATGCAACTGGAGGAGGAGGAGGAGGAGGAGAAGGAGGAGGAGGAGGAGGAGGAGGAGGAGGAGGTGTTGCCCCCGCGTCGGTATCCGTGCTGCTCTCGTTATTGTTATGAATAAGTTAATAACATGGCGGAAGGCTTCTTTTGTCGTGTCCCAAACAAGCAACAACCTGGCAGGCAGCGCTTATTAAATGATTGAAGCCTTTGGTGGGGCGAGGTGGTGGGGACATGGACATGGACTTCGACTTGGACTTGGACTGAGACTGGGACTCGGACTCAAGCTGGGGGCCCCCATAAAAAAGGTGGAAACCTGGTTCTCGTCTTTTTGTTGCCTGCTCTTTTTGAGCGCTGCTTTGTGGTTTTTTCCCTTTTGCGACCGACGACCAGCGACCAGCGACCACCATCAATAACAGAGCCCGGGCCATATTTATGATTTGTTAAGCAACGCCGAACGTGCGAAAGGATAATCACAAGCGCCTGCTGGCACGCCCCCCTCTCAACCCCCTCCCCTCCCCTCCCCACCCCTCGCTGACCCACCCATCAGACCCCTTTTTTCGAAGGGTTCGTCGTCGTGTGTGAGGCATTTCCAAAATTGAGTCAATGACTTTTATTTTTACGACTCGCCCTGGAGAATTGTCCAAGATGGATTGGATGGACGGTGCGGATCTGCATCCAAACGTGGCACTGGCTTTTATGGCACTGCGAATTGAGCTATTAGAAGGGGAATTTTGATTTGTAGATGGAGGATCGTAGTTGTGGTGGCACCTGTTCTGGATCTGCATCCACTCGAACTCTGACCACCGGCGTTGGTGAAACGCCCTCAATACCGCGTTGATTCCAATCGCTCTCGTCCACTCAACGACATCAATTATGTACTACAAAATTGTACAAATCATTTTCGTGAGGCCCTCGAAGTGTTCCAGCTGCCAGGGGAGTGGAGAAAGGTTGGACAGCTGTAAGGATCGCACATGGTGAGGACGAGGATGAGGATGAGGACGAGGAGGAGAGCTCTTTGACACGCTCGCAGGATTAGCACCGGTTGAGAAGTGGGAGCAGGAATGGGGGTGGGGGGTTGCAGAGAGCTGTGAAAATTCTTGACATCTTTAATGAGCGCCGGCTTATCAATGGCCTCCGCCGTCATCCGATCCACAGCCACATCCTCATCCACATCCACATCCACATCCTCATATCCACAGTCCATTCCCAGTCGCAGTCTGATTGTTAACCTTTGAATCGGGGCATTAAAAAACGTTAACAAGCTGCGTAGCGCCGTCGGCGGCGTTAATGTCGAAATTGGCGCTGGACCAGGAATGGCCAAGATCGCCAGATCGCCGGTGGAGTGATTGCGGGAGGGGATGGGGGGGGAGGTAAACTGGGGCCTGCGACTGCGACTGGGACTGGGACGAACGTGTTTCTTAATGAAACAAAGCTTGAATTTTAAATGAGCATCATAAAGAACAATGAAAATGCAAGGAACAGCAACAACAAAGCGAGACCGGCGATCCGTTCGATGGACAAACGAGATGGCAGGGGGAGGGGGGGAGGGTGGCGGTGGTAGCGCGGACAGCGCGAAATAAAAGCGCAGAAATGTTAAATAAACAATAAAAAACAATCCGCAGCCACAATCCCCCCGTCGCGGAGTCTGTCAAACTCGGCCAGCGGATTAAGCGCGGCCTGCGCACAAGACGCACCAGAGATGGATATGGCTGCGATCCCAGGCCATCCCCCAATACCCGACTTCCCGTTCCCCCGATCTCCCGATCTCCAAACACCCCGCCCCCCGAAGCCCATTCCCCTGCGAAAACCGCGGCAAAGCCAAATCGGAGCAGGATGGGGAGAAGTCAGGAGGAAGTGCGTCCCAGTTGACGCGCCGACTGGTGGATGCTCTGCTTATCAAATGAAAATCTAGTATCCCTAAAGGAATATGAATATGAATTCTTGGGCCACCATATTACGCATTCAAAAAAACCGTTCAATTTGTTGTATGATATGTATGTACATCAATAAACATCTTGGTCTATTAAACTTAATTTTAATATTGGTTAAGTTTTTAAGTGTTTATGATTTTAGGTTGTCACTTTTTCGTTACCTTCTCATCTTTGCTAGTTCAAACACTTTTTATTAATCAGAATAATAATATAATTTGTAAAAATCAAAAACATGCAATGTTTGACTCTATGAATCAGTACATATTTACATCTTTATATCAAATACGTATTAAAATTGCTTTGAAATACATTTTTTTAAAAATATTTTTGTGTGAAATGCAATGTTTTGTTTATTGCTGTGCAATTTTAATTTTATTTTTGCATGTATTTTTATTTAAATAAGATTGTTCTGAAAGGTATGTCACTGAGCTCACTAATTAATAAGGGTTCCTTAACAAGCTTCCAATTTATTTGTCCCAAAGAGCCTCTAAAATGGTTGGACTCCTTTAAAAAGTCAAAGTATCGCTCGATAATCATGTGGGTTGGGATGTAAAACTTTTGCCGTCGCTGCTTAAAGGATTCGCAAATGATTCTGCGGTCAAAGATGAAATGAAATGAGCCCAAAGGATTCGGGGGAGGGGGATGGGGGATGGGTATGGGGATGAAGGGAGCTGGCCATAGTTGATTCTCTGGTGCTGGCCATAATTGGTGCTCATCTTAATGGCATTAAAATTGCATTATCGCTGTATTTATTGAAACGGTTTGTTTTAACAAGATTAACTCGACGATACCGCCAACAACAACAGCAACAGCAGCAACAAAAACAAAAACAACGACGACGGAGACCACAAAATGATTAACAGCAAAAGCCGCCACAAACGGAATACAACAAAAAAAAAAAAAAAAGAAGAAAAGAATGAGAAAACGACGATTCGGTGTCGATCCGAAAACAGCGTTAAAATACGTGATATTTATGTGGTTGCTGCTGCCGTTGCTTGTTGTTTGTTGTTGTCGCTTGATTGGCCACAGCCATTGTTGTTGTTGTGCTTGTTGCTGCTGCGGGGGCCATAAAATATTTATAACATAATTTCATATCATTTTTAGATGATTAGATTCAATAAGGCGGCTTCCAGTTCAGCAGCTGGACTTGAGATACATTTGTATCTTCGAACGGTGTCGTCTATCTCCGTTCTCCGGATTCCCATTTGAATGGGACTCGGAGCTGCCTACTCCTGGACAGGAGCAGCACTCACAGCTGAGTCAGCGATGACGCCCACATGCATTCCCAGAACCCTAGAGTAGACCCAGTTCAGACCACCAGTCAATCCAATCGATCGATGATGATCCAATATTGCAACCCTTCCAAAGAATTCCGAGAAACTCTCATAATTATTATTTATGCATACAAATTAAAAGCAGAGCGCAGTATTTGCCAAAATCCGATCAAAGCGTTTATTTATGGCCGCCCGGTTATTTTTTTTTTTCTTCTCCTCAACGCGGTTATTTCATCAGGCCCCGAAATGCCAAAGAGTTTGGAATGCCGCGGGCACTAAAATGCCCTAGTCGAGATACAGATATGCGGCGGTACTCCGATCGCTCTCCATTTCGAAACTCCCGTTAGGTGCCCCTTTCCCAGCAGCCTACCATGTTCTTCTTGGACGAACGTGTTTTATCAGATCCTTAAGCATTTGGTTATATTAACGCTTTGGGGAGCTTTGGTTACACCAATAGCCGAAATCCGTTGCCAAGGGCTGGAGCCTCCCATTCCGCTCCAGATACCAGATACCAGATTTGACGCATCCACTTATCAACGGCGATCGTGCGTCAGCGGCAACAATTAAATAGATTGAATGCGGATTGCGGCGATTTATGACCTGCAGCGGCGCTCGACACTTGGCACTTGGCATTTGCAATTGATTGTCGTGTTGCCCAATTAAACTTATTGCGGGCCGAGTAAATGAAATGTCAAATAAGTTAATTAAGCAACGGCCGGTCAGCGGAGCAGACGAGCCTCCGTTACGGGGGCGTGTTGCCCCGATAAGATGATAACATGATTACACCTGGGATGATAACACCGACGACCTTGTTGCATCACCCGGTGGCGCAGTTGCTGCACAGCGAGAAAGGATACGAAGTCATTCAAATTCCTAATTCAAGGATGCCACAAACAGCATTAATATAATGATTCTAGTTAAATCTAGATTTTATTGATCAGCTTTTGAGTGCTTTTCATCTGACTTTTATGAATCGCGCAGGGGTCGGCGATCAATATCAAATGTGACTCTAAGCCGGTTAATTAATCTTAAATTGCCCGTTATAAAAATTCTAACGATTGTTAAACGATTATGTTAAGTCAGGAATGTAAGGAATGCTTTGATAAGATTGCAGCGGCTTTTGTTGCATTTTTAACACAGAAAAAAAAGAGTAAAGATTAATGGGGTAAGTATTAAATAAATATATCATAAACCTTTTCCAATTTGTGACATTCAAAAGCTGTGTATAAAAAGTTCAAATATCCCATTACAATTATTATATATCTTCAAATTTTACAAATTCATTAACTAAATATATCTTTAGCTAAATATATTAGTTTGCTGGTGAAATAGTTTAGGTTCTGCGGACCGAAAATTGAAACCAACAGAAAAGTGATTGCTGATTGCAGATTATCTCCTTGCGACCCATTCATGATCGTTCGTGCTTTCACATTTCAAGTGTGATTTTGTTTGATTAGATTGCGATTATCGCCATTGCCTGACCCCTTTTCTTGCCGTGTAGCTGTGGCTGTCTCCGGCTGCAGTGTTAACCACCAATAAACAGAGTAACCACCGTGGTGGTGCTGACTCATCGGGTGGTTGCCCCGCATAGCGACACACTCTGATTTGCAAGCCGATTTCAATTTGCGGGGGCTTGGATTCCGAGCACCGAGCTGAGTTGGTTTCTCACCTGGCGGCGTTTCCAATTAACAAATGCGAGTCGCGTGCCTTGACGTCATTGGGGCTCCCACCAATGCCCAACCCCTCCCCCCCCCCCACACTTTGCCCACTTAACCTGTGATATACAAAGGTCGCCGATCGATGTTTACCCCATAATTTCGAGAGAGAGACATGAGACAGCTCATGTTTTCAGCCGGCTACGTCAGCGTGCCTCGATTTCAAGAAACATACAGTTGATCTTGGGGGTTTTCAAAGATAGCGGTTGCACATTGTGAAATTCAGTTGTGGAAGCGAAGTGTGTGTGT